CATCTCATACACAAATCTACTAAAGTAGTTATATGACTGAATAGTTGAAGTTATGAAAGTTGAATCATAGTTTAAACAATTTACAACGAATGACTCAGTCACCGTCAGAAACGAAACCATTCACTAACCACGTTTCGGCTGGGGAATGTCGCCCGCTTCAACGTCGTATGATTCGGTGGCGCCTAAACGGTTCCAGGCTTGAAAGAAAGCAATAGGATAAGGTATGCGCTGGCTATACGCTTACCGGTTCTTTTGGGTGATGGAGGAGCGCTCTGGCTGATATATTTCAGTGAAAACTGAATCGGGCTGAACGCCGCGGCGTAATGGCTGCCCCGACGGTCGCCGCCGAAGTTCTCGAACAGCTCGGACACCGATGGAGAGCCGCTGATGGACGACGACGAGAAGCTGGTGCTGTCTGACCGTGACGATTCGCCAGGCGAAACCTCGATTGAGGACGATGACGCGCAAGGTAAACCCGTTGAATGGATGATCACTGATGTAGCTCCTGAGGCTACCTCTACAAAAAAAATTAACGAACTGTAGAACAGGCGTTAAACATAGTAATGATGTGCAATGGTGCAGTATATTACAGTATCTTATGCAATAATAGTGCACTACTAAAATATATCGTACATGTATAGTATAATTTATGGTATACAATTGTAAGTTCTATTAGTTTGTTGGTAATCCTCCTGAAAACATAAAGCATTAAACAGTTTATTTATACATAATGGGAAAAATACGGTCAATTTATGACTGATCAGTGCCGATAATTTTACATTCTGGCTACACACGCATCAATCGTTGCAGATATAAAAAAATTCCGAAACTCAACCAACTCCATCCATACGTTGAAGAAGGCCCGCGAGACACAGGCTGGAACGTCAAACTTGGGTTGGCTAAAAAACAGGTCGCCCTTAATGCTGTCATCAGCATAGCACAAACTTACTGCAACTAAAGTTATCAGCTCGAACTATATTACGTATCAACAATTCGTTCATCTTATTTTCACCTATATCACCTTAAGAATATCTGATGGTATGAAACGTCAATGCTAAGTCATACCATCAATTGTACTTGTTGTCATATGATGTTTCCTGAAGACAGAGAGATCCAACTCGATCTCGATCCGAAACGTTTGGAAACGTTACGATATAATTTACAGTGGTGTGAACCCCTTGAAGATTTCGATGATCAAGAATATTTTACCTGCATCTGGAATCACTGAAGAAAACATCTTCAAATCTGATAATTACTACATGTTACGTTATCACAGATGACCATCCATTCGACTCAACCGTTAGCGAAACGAAGAAGTAAATGGTTCTTTTAGTTAGCAGAGCCACCTGTCAATCGAATGCGCATCAATCATAATTACGGTACAATCTTTGCTCAGTGATGACGGTCGATCTAAACGTCGATCTGTTAAATAAAACAGATATTTAGACTCAGTACGAAAAACTGGATTTCTGTATTCTCCGCCATGCTCATGCAGTTGAAAAGGCATCACTGGCTTAGTCTAATAACTAGGTCTGCTCTACGAAGTAATGAGAAATGTCAAATACAGCCTTTAAAACAAAGTGTCAAATAATCTTTAAAATAATTTTAAATATAAATTTTCTTTAAAGAGACATAAGAGATCCTATACTGTACGTCATTTGTCAAATGTTCTGAAATGTACGCATGCCGGCAATTACGAACAGCTCTACCTTCGTTAGCGTAAGTAACTGGATTATTGAGGTTCC